AGGACCCACTTTGCTTCCAGATCTGAGTAGTTAGAGCTAAAAGCAGAGAACACACTCTCTTGATACCTTACAGTCAAGAGGCTTTGCACACCTTCCCTTTCTCCAGAGAAAAAAATCGCAAGTGGGAGCCAAACCTTTTCACAAAACTAACACGATATGGTTTTCTTCAAAGGCTGAAAGTTGTTCCCAAGATGGTGACAACAGCTTGCAGAACTTGGTGAGGCAATACCATTTGATGAGTTGGTACCTGCTATTCTGCCATCCTGTTTAGAACTCATTAAAGAGGAGTTAATGAAAGTTTAAAAACTTGCAGCATTTGAGCAAGGATCTTTTTTAAGAGTATAATTCTTATAAAACTCATCATTTTCTAGTGCTACTACAAAGTCACTTATTTCAAATACAGCAGTGTAATTAACGTGTTATAGGTAAGTTGGAGCAGCAGACTGTTCAAACCTATAAAACAAACATTGTACCCCACCTGAGCTCCTAACTAGTATTAAGCAGTACAAATAATCATTTTCTAATTAATGAGATTCTAAAATAAACATGTACTTGAATATCTCAGTGATAACTCACATCTTATTGTGACATTAGTCCATATTTCAGCTCTGACACTGATCTGGGGCAAGACTTAGCTTACTTATTTTGTTATCACGTTTGTTTCCCCCATCTAAAAGTGGGTGATATTTCTCAGTCACCTTGTAAGGATGTTGTAAGGCTGATTTTAAGTCTGTAAAGCTTTTTGCAGTTCTTGGCTAACTGTGTGGAACTGGAGTGCAGTACACAAATTCCAAGTATTCTTACCATCCTACAGCAACTGGGGACAGATTTTTCACATGCCAGTTCTTTTACTCTGGGACAAATGGCTGCTGAGTCAAGTGGTGATGGGGCACATAGAGGACAAGGTAGACAAAATGCAAGCAGGAAAGCAATTAGTTACTCTAATGTTACAGAAAAACAAAACTAAAAGTCTCAGTAAAATAAGAGTCTTAGTAAACAAGAGAACAATATAAGCCCTTCTCAGAAGGGTCTTTGACAAGCTGTTGTATTGATAGCTGGTTCTGGCAGCTGGCAACTGCAGAATATTAATGAAGCAATGGTAGGTACATGAGCAGTTTGAACAGCTTGATTATAACTGACTGAAGTCTACAATGCGTGATATCAAGATATGTTATTTGTTTTTGGTATTTGCTCTTAGTTTGACCTTGTTGCTTTCCTGCTGCTTTTTTCCATTTTTCTTTTTCACTTTTTTCTTTCCTTTCACTTCTTTCCTTTCTCCCTCCCTTCCTCCTTCCCTCCTTTTCTCTTTCTCTCTTTCCTTCGCTAGTTCTCATAGGCCTAATTAAGTTCAAATGTGCTGAAAACTGCATATTGCATGTCCGATGTTTTTATAAGTGCCCTAATCTTGTTTCTCCCCTATTATTTGTTAGTAGACACATGCAGTTCTTATTACAGTAAGCTGCGTTCTTGTTCACTGCTTGCATAAATGGGATTTATACAGGACAACTAGAAGGAGCTTAGGAGAAAATCCTTGTGCACATCTGACTAGGGCTATGTAAAGGCTGAGCAGTCTCTGTGTATTTGACAGGGAGAAGTGAGATTGATGGCTTTACTCAGGGCACACTCCAGTCACTATTCCCCTGCTGCTTCCCTGGGAGAGGGCAGGCAGTGTTCCTCGCCCACTGCTTGCCTATAAAGGCATAGGTACAAGCAGTGCTCTCTTGTTAGGTTTGAGCACATGATGGTATTCATATGACTGACTGAAAACACTGGTGGTGACCTTGATTTGTTCAAGTGCTGCTTCTTTTTTTCTTCTTTTGGTCTGGTTCTGTATGCTTCCCATGAACATCATCACATATAATTGTTTTTATGATTTTTAGCATATTTCTTTTTATTCTTTACAGCCCATAATAACCTCTAAGGGTTCTGAAAAAGCATTTTGTTTATCACTGCTTCATTCCTTCATTTTGTTTGCTTCTTCCTTTATCAACATTTGTATCCACTCATGTAAAGTTCTGAGGGTCTTTTGGTTGCTAATGGATTTTGCACTTGTTTTAATACTTACCTATACTACCCAAATCTTACTAGTTAGGCTTAGGTTAGAGCTGGGTATACTAATGGGTTAGACTTCTTTAGGAGAGATTCAGTTACAGGGATTTTAAGTGCAGATTTTACAGGAGAATACTGCTTTAGCTCCCGAGCATGTGTGGAATGTTTGAGATGTTGGATTTAATGTTTGTGAGAAAACGAATTCTTACTTTCATGTTGGTGCAAACATTTATTAATTATTTTTTTTCCCTTCACCTTTTATTAACTGCAGCTAACATTGGCCATGACAATCATAAAGGAATAGCAGAGAAGCTATTATTAGCTCTATGTTGTGGGATAAACAGGAGGTGTGAGATACAATGATCCAGGCTCTTCTTGGTGGCAGCCTAATGCCCAGTGTAGGCTGGCAGACAGGGCCATGCAGTGGCCTTTGCACCCATTTGGCTCTAGGCTCAGGCACAGGAGCAGACAGTGCCCCTTTGCTTGTGTCCGTAATGCTCTCTTAATTTACGGTGAAGCTTTTGAAGGGAGGAAGCCACTGAACTGTCAGAGCCTGTTCTTCTACCCTGAAGGAGTGGATTTAACAGGATCTCTCCAAAGCGTTCATTAGTGACATTCAGGAACCATCAACATTCTTTTGACTAATGTGGTGGCTGTGATTTTTCAAAGTGCTTTTGAATTTTTTTTAGGAAAAGGAGTGCTTCCTGAGTAAATTGATAAACCCCTTCCATTTTTTCTGAAGAGCAATGTGTTGATGTGTTTTGCCATTAGAAAAATTTATAATAGCGATAGAAGTGTTGTCATGTGAATATTAAATATGAAAACAAATATGCTCAAGCCTTTGAAGTGTAAGAAAACAATAGTTAACCTTTTTTCATGAAACAACCGGAAGTTTTCTCAGATGAGCAGAACAACAGCTTTCTGGGATAGATAGCAAACTCTTGTTTACTCCCACTTAACTCACAGAAACAAAATTCTGCTTTTTATGCAAATTTGAAGTTTTGTTCTCTTGAACGTGTAATGGATCATCTTTATTTGTGCTCTAAATGATAGTGGGTTTTCCGAGATACTCTTCCTTCTAACAGGCCCTGATTTGCAAAAACAAAGTGATATTGAATGGGCTTGACAAAGTTAAGTATCAGCAAGCAGAATTGTTTCTGTTTGTCCAGGCTGCTCTACTGGCAGGTCCAGGTTTTTCCTCTCTGAATTTTGTCAGTGAACTAATATTAAACTGAGACTAGGATAAACAGAAACAAAGTACATACCAGAGGTTCTTTCTGGACATGTGTATAAAAAGATTTATATACAGAGCAATATATACCCATTGCTGCCAGCAGGAAATCTGCTTTATGGTACAAAAGCCAAACTACCTGGGCTTCTAAATTTTTTTCCTAAAAGCCAGATGTTTTAGTCATTGATTTATCTTCCTCCAGAGGTGTACCAGCTACATTAGATTGTATCTGATGTCTATAGTCCGCTTCAGTGATGTGGAGAATCAGATGTACAGTGGGTTTCTTTCACAGGGCTAGCCTAGTGATAGGCAATCCTAAAAACAACATTTTGCTTGTTTTGTGGCATATATTGAATGCAGTGCTACATGGCATTTGCCCTGAAAGTACTTCAGGCACTATCCCAAGAGATTAGTATAAGCTGACACAGTTGTTTCTTTCAGTTTTTGTTAAGGTAATCATCTCACTCCCACTGCTAATGCAGTTTACTGCGAGAAATCGGAATATGCTGTAAGTGGCACAGAAGAAATCATGTAGAAACTTGCTGGTAATCGTGAGAATATAAACAACCTATTCACTGTTATCAGCCACAGTTTTCAGTATTAGTATAGCAGGAGACCAATCAAGAGTAATAAGTTGCCTAAATGCCCAAGAAAGAAACAGCGAGGAAAGAAGAATTTGTAGTTCATACTGTTTTGTAGGCTGGATTACACAGAAAAAACCACAGTGGACTCCAGTTTGGTGTTTAATAATAAAAGGACTTATTGTAGTGGAAAAAACCCTCAGAAATAAAAAAATGGATTTTCACTACTATGTATTTTCTTAAAAGGTAATGTAGAATGTAGAAAACTTATGGTTTTAGATGTGAAGATGATATTAACAGTGTGACATTTATTTCAAGGCCTTAGCAGTTTTCGGTGGATTTCTATGATTTCTTGAGCTGCCTGAATGCATTGGCTACAGCTCTCAGAACCTCTGGTAAGGTATCATTCTGGTGGCAGCTCTTACAAGTCAATTCTAAATTAGAGAAGATGTGGAAAACTTGTGAGGTTTATTAGTGAAAGGCTTACTGGTGTCTTCTGACATGTGGAAACAGCAAAACTAGCACCATTAAGCGCCACCTTGTTCCTGCAAGTAATAACAACATCAAAAAATATGAAGATGAAAATTTTGAGAGCACAATATGGAATTTTAATATTGTGTACTTGTTTGATGCATACAGGGGGAATTTTAAATCTGCTTAGAACCTGCTTTTCAGATGTTCTCAATTTGCTCCTCTCTATTGTTGTTGATGATTTTGCTGCTGTACCAATAAATCTCACTAACACAAGGGCATTTAGTTATAATTTGGGTGTAACTTTTTTGTCATTGTTTCTTCTCCACAGTGTAGATGGTAGAGCTACATAAATCAACCCACACCAGCTAGTCACTTTGCAATAAGTGACTAATTACAAATAGAACTTCAGTGACTGAGATCAGTGATTTGAAACACTTGCCACATATTGATTAGGCTATTGGAAATATTCTTGCCACAAGTTTTTTTGCAGAACAGCTTTTGTTTCTGAAAATAGCTACTCTTGTTCTGTGGTCCCATGAAAGCTGGATGTTGGTCTTTGCTCTGAGGATTCTTTATCATTCCTGCAGATGACTATTGAATACTGTAGTTCAATACAGAAAAAAGGGAAAAATTTTTTACATCCTGTTTATTTTCTTCTTTTCCAGTCTAGTTGGAGAAGAGACAGAGACTGAAACATGCCACCTGCAGCGGGAGCACCAGATTACCCACCTCCTGATGGAGGCTGGGGCTGGGTTGTGGTCTTTGGGGCTTTTATCTCCATTGGATTTTCCTATGCATTCCCCAAAGCTATAACAGTATTCTTCAAAGAAATACAAGAGATCTTCCACACATCATATAGTGAGATAGCTTGGATATCATCGATAATGTTGGCTGTCATGTATGCAGGAGGTAAGACATTAATGAAATTAGTAAATAACATTGTTTGTTTGGGTTTTTTCATGTGGTCCTGATGCATTTTCCCCCCTTAAAGCCTTTTCTTTGTTCCTTGGCCTAATTCTATTTTGCAATCTTTCCTAAATTCCATTTCTGAGAGTATAATATTCCAACAATTCAATGCCCAAGTAATTTCTTCTGGGTCTAGGGTAAATTTGGTTAGTTTCCACTGCCTTGGTGAGATCTCTCAGTAGATCCAATGATGAAGCTTAATCATAGAAAGTTATTATGGAAATGCAGGTTCATTAGTCAGACACAGGTATTCCTCTGTCAACAAGGGGTTTGCATTTTGTCCTTATTTGTCCTAAAATCCTACTTTTCATTTAGGCCAAGAGCGATGTTTCAAACACGCCATCTGTATGAGAGCTAAGGTGCAGACAATCTTATTCTTGGGACTGAACCGTGAACTTAAATTTTCTGATAACTTTTTTTTTATAAGCAAGCAAGTAAAGAATAAGACAGATGAAAAAAGATTTAAAGTATAAAGCTATGTTTAAGAACTAAGAGTCAAATCTGCTTTGACAGGCTTTGTGTCTATCAGCCCCAAAGAGTAACTTGTTAAATTCTGCTTAGTTTCTTCATTTATTCAAAATTATTTTCTTTTTTAAGTATTGGTGAGAACTAGCTGCTGCTTAGGTAAAACACTAATTCAGGCAGTCCAGAGATGTGAATTACTTTAATTCAGGTAACAGATCTGGTTACTTCTTTTAATGTTATGAGTAACCACCTGGAACATCTGACTATTTGCACTGATGGAGCAATTAAATGCATACATTTATAAACATGCATGTTTATGTGTATGTACATGTGTGTAAAAGAGACTTATACAGAGAGACTGAAAACTTCGTGCCGATAGCATACTGATACTGAAACTCTTTAACCACTGAAGAGCATCACCAGTATTTTTCAGAAGCACTGTCTGTGTAACAGTTCAGTACAGTGTTGTCAGGTCCAACAAATAATCTCTTGAAGGATGCTTGAAGTCTCATTTTCAGCCTAGTAATTTTTTTTCTCTTATTTCAGCCTACCTAAGTTTTGACATATGAGTGGCCCTAGCTTATTTACCAGTCAGGGAAGTGAGCAGCATGCCAACAAAGAGGATCAGGCTACCTGGATTGCTCTCTCTTTTTCCCCTCTGAGTGTAATAATGAAGCTGGAGCCAACATAGCATTAGATTTAGCACCTCAGGTAAATATTTTTCAATTGATGGCATGGAAGAATGGATCTTTTTTCCAATTCTGGTAGTCACAAAGACCTTATGAAGACATCTTGACAAATGGTATCAATATCAACAGAAGCATGCTGTTCAGATATTTTGATACTATTTTTATTCATATACTAATGGAAAATCATAAGTTATTCGTGTGCTGGTAGAGAAATAGAAAGGACCAATGACATTTTCAACTGATTCACCAAAATTCACCAGGTGAAGAAATAAGTTGTTGCAATCAGTAGTGGAGTAAAAGAGGGTGTAGCTCATCACATTTGGGTGCATCAGCACTGTGGAGTGTACCTGAGTAATTGTGAAGGTCTCTGAATCAGTGCTCAATCCATCTGGAGCACGGGAAGAGCACAGGTGTTGAAAAGCTGGATTTTTTTTCTGCTTTCCATGTGCTATGACTTGCTGACCTGGGCTCCTTTAACAGTGTAAAGCAGGTATGCTGTATAGTGCAGGTGCTGTTCTGTTATGTTCTATTAAATGACATTTAATTTATGTCATTTCTGCCAGCTCAAAGTTCACCCAAGTTTTATTAACAGTACAGATGCAAATCTCAGGACATTTAGCTGTGATCATTTTTATCTGCAAGGTTCAATGTGCACAACTTTTCATATAAAATGTAAAAGATTCAGCATTTTTGCCTTTTCCCTAATACTTCTTTGGCTGTTCTGATTACCAGCTATTATCTTCACTTATGTATGGACATAAAAAACTACAAAATGGTTTTCTATTCATTCTTATGATACCTACCCCATTTACTATGAAGATTATCAGCACAGGAACAGGAGGCGAAGTTGTTTTGATATCTTGTTACAGACTTGTGGTTTTAAAATGCTGAGAATGACGACCCTGCCTGATATAAACACTCTTTGAAGCCATAGCTTCTCTAGGACCACTTCCTAAAAAATGGGCCATTTAGACAATCACTGGCAAACTATGAAATAGCAATCCGGAAAAACATTTGTGAAGGAAATCACTTCATTGTTTTTACTGTCTGAAGGAGGTTTGATTCTTCTTTCACATTTAATATGCTTTAATGTGAAATACACGTTCAGGCCACGAGTACAAGGTGTATTATTTACTATGAAGTGTGATACATATATCTGCAATGAACACTGTTCATCATACTACTAATTAAGGTAACCTGAAAACATCTAAGATCTGTCATCCTCATTACAGCTTAGCATTCAACCTATTAATCATCACAGTGGGGTCAGTGAATAACTTAGAATCTGTGCAGACACTTTTTGCTTTGGATGCTGCAGCCTCTTGCAGTAATTAGCTGGCATCTGTGTTGCAGCAACAAGGTATTAACTTACCTTTCAGTGCCGGAGAAAAAGCTCCAGTAAGGAGCTAAAAGAATGTTAATTATATTTATCACTTACTTCATACTTAGAATAAATGGCATTAAATTATAGCAGACCATCTGGCAATCCATATGGTCTCCTGCAGTCCTGGTTAATTCCAGCAAATAGGTCAAGCACAGCATTCACCCTGTTAGGAAAGCACCAGGCAGAGGTGAGAAATCTGATAAATCAAATCAATACGAAACTCCTTTTCTCTCTCAATCTGCCACAATATGCAGTTTCTTACTGGGTTTTTTTTTTTTTGTTGTTGTGTTTTGGGGGGGTTGGTTTGTTTGTTTTCTTAAGCTCTCCCTTCCTTCTTCCCCCACTCCTGAACCTTTATTGTTTGTTAGAGTTTGCTAAAAAGGCATCCCAAAAAGCAAGATCCAGTGATGTGATTAAGGTTACAAGTATTTCACAGCCTCTACTGTTCAGGCCATGCTTGATAAAAGCATCCTCTGGAGAAGAGCAGTAGTTCAGTCTCCATGGTAACTCCTTCTTGTGCCTCTCTTGAGCAGAGACTGTCAATTGCATTAAATTAAGGGTGATGGTTTTGTGATGGATTCCTACACCCAAGGGACTGAGATTGAGACCACCAGACTTTTGTTACTGCAGGACAGAAGCAGGGATAGAATGGAATTGGCTGAGTTATCCTGACAGCACAATCTGTGTTTCTGTGTGTGTATGAACAGATACGTATATAAAACACATTTGCATATATGTATTCTTCCATATCTAAACTATATATGTATCCATATACTTACAGAGTCATTTCTGCTCCAACACACAGAGACATTAAGGAATTCAAGAAAAAGATCAAATACATTTGACCTCAGGTTTTCATAGTTCATTCTTCTCTTTTTCAAAACTTCACCTCTCACTTTGTGCAGCGTTATCAGCCAAAGGTGATTAGGGAGCTTCTTATCAAAGCTCAATCTCTTTCCGGTAAAAATGTTTTCATTGCTTTCAGTGTGGGTTTGATAGGAGCCATAGTGGCAGCTATGAAAGCCATGTGACAAGTCTGGTGATTTCAGACAGATCTGACCTTGAGTTTTAGATTTCCTCAGGGAGAAAGCAACTTGTTTACTCACTGGTCCTTAACTTTTTTTCTGTCATTTTTCCAAGGACAATATCAGTTTGGGGTTTTTCTTTCTTTGTTTGTTTGATTTTTCTCAAAAAGAACTTTTTGGGTGTAACTTTGGGTTATGAAGATTGGCTTGAGAGCTGATAAATCCTTCAAGTCATACACAGCTGTGAAATGTGGGACAGTCGTGCTAGTCTTTAAGTCCAGAAAGCATATAAGGTTCATTTAAATTCTGGATAATATTACTAAGTAAATAATTCAAAAAGTATCTTTAGACTGCTTTTGAAGAAAGAGGGTATATAAGTGTTTAGAGTGGCCATTATAATTTTTCAAAACACAGTTTAAAAATACAGTATCTTCTTTCTTCTCTGTTGCTTAAGTTATTCAAGTTTGAAGTTACATATTTCCAAACAGTAGCAAACCTTTAAAGGATTTCCCCTGTGAGAGCACATAAGTAACCTATAGACAAGTCCTCATTTTGACTTTGTCTAATATTAATTTGGAAAAGAACGTATCATATGGTATGTTCAAAATATTTGTGATTTTATCTCAGTGGGTGTTTTGGTGATATTGCTGTGAAGATGAAATGGCGTGCACAGTGGAGATGACAGTTGTGAAATCCATATAACACAAACAACAGATGGTTACGGATTTTTACTTTTGGGCAGGTCCTGGGTTCCTACACTTTTCTTCCTCCCCGATAACTTTTTCTAATTTTGGTTTTACAAATACTGGCACCAGGAATTCAGTGGCCATCCATATGGAGATTGAGAAGCTTTCTTGAATTGTCCTGTCTCCTTTTTTTGTCAGGGGCAAGTGTTATTCTCTATCAGAATATGCAAAGTGTTGAATTTTAATAGCCTCATTTAGAGTGTCCTTGAAAGCAACACTTACCAACTACATGAGTGCCTCATGGGCATAAGGGAATACTTCATATTTAGCCTAAAATATATGTAAAACGTCTATGTCAAGTTAATTTGAGACTCATATATAAGGGAAAAGTAGTCATAATGAGGTTTCACAAGAACAGAGTGTTTTGAATCTTACTAGCAAATGGAGATGAGAGTAGCAAAAATACTATAAATATACATTAGATCAGTTCACAACAAGACCTGAATGCTAAAGCCTCTGAAGGGTAGTACAGCCAGGTACTTGTATTTCTTGGAAAGCTTTGAATTTTAGTAAAACTGGAACTTGTAGGGTAGTGTTCGGCAGTAGCAATGGATGTTTTGTACAGAGGCCTTCCTAGTTGTTTAGAAAACACTATTTTAAATGATCATGGAAAGAAAGATGAAATTAAAAAAAA